TAATTAAAAAAATATAATAAAAAAAAAATTATAAAAACCAATGAAAATGAATAAAAAAGTAAAATTAAATTCAAAGAAAACGACCAAAAATGGTGAAGGGAAAGAACCATCGAGTAGAGCTCGATCGAATGAATTCAAAGATGTACCGTTTATCTCTGAGCAAGACTGGCAAGCACGGGAGCTTCGTCACATGCAGAGGATACAGGATGTGAAAGTATGCCTGAGCTTTATAACGGGTCAGTGTCGAGTCTCAACAAACTAGCCACAATCCTTAAAGGTCCACCTACTTATTTAGAGTCGATTGAGGATTACAACAAGCTGCAGTACGAGCAGAGTAAGGCGCTGGCATGGAAGCGCTATATCGACTGTGATGGCCTGCCCCGTGTATCTGACCCGCCTGATATCCGTAAAATGATTGCCGAACTGAATTATTTCGAGGAGTTGGAGACGAAGTCGACGGTCAATTGGGAACTGGCTGTGGATGAACGCTGTGTTCTCTCGCAGAGCATCTTCCGGCAGGATCTGACGCGCCAGACGCTTCAGGAGACACTTCGGCCCAATATCGGCAAGTTCTTTGAGGAAGCTGTGTCGCGTATACTCATTACTCTCGAACGCATTGAATGCATGCTAAACAACGAGCACGACTTGTGTAATCTATCAACCGAACGGATCATTGAAGTATTATGTGTGAGTGCTTCAGTTTCAAACTGATTGGAGATATAATTTGAGTCCTTAAATTAATTTTACCTATGATAAAGTTGTCCATTGTGGAACTGATAGAGAGCGATAGATTATTTCCAACGTTTTTATCAAAAACCCTTTGCAGGTGCGTCCGGAACTGAGTCGGGAGATCGATGTGTTCTTTGATAAGCTCACCTACCGCATTGTTTCAGCACCGAGTGCCTTCAGAACGTAAGCTTATACATTGACTTGACAATTATTACAAGTGTTATCTCTCAGGTCATACGATGGGATAAAGGAAACCTATTCCTACAATTGTCCCAATTTTAATTATCAAGTCTGGTGGCTTAGCGATGTGCCCGTGCGCTTCGAATACATGGAGTAAGCTTTGACAATAGTGCGAGTTTCGCTTTGAATTGAATTGATTTGGCTTTGCAGACTACCCCTAATAGTGGCCGATTTGGACAGTGTGGGCATCCAGGTGCAGATACCGCTTAGTGTTTTATGTGACAATCTAACTCTGCGCTGTGTCCACACCCTTTTCGATCATTTGTCGGAGGAAGCGAAGAGCTATGAGCAGGTCATCGATGGCGCGGTGAATATCAACGGGGGCATAATGGACATCGACGATTGTCTGGTCAACGAATGGCTGATGCAGCTGAATCTTGTCGACAAAATAATATCAGCATTAGAGCAGAGGTTAACCGAATATGAGCAATATACGGCGTGAGTGAGCGCAGCAATCTGATGTGAGAAACTCTATTTTCAACTAACAGTAACACCTTAGAGAGGTGGCCCAAAAAGAAGCGGCAGCACGGATAGCGGAAAAAAGAACGAACAAAGCTAGGAGCCCAAAAGATGCTAAGTCAAAGCGCTCTGAGCAACGCTTATCGAAAAGGTTGGCAAGGGAGCCAGAAATGTTACCGGAGGGTATGTTTCCTGATCCCTTACAGAGGTTTATTGAGCAAGAGCAACAGGAGTTTGACGATTTTTTAAATCAGTTCCTAAATCCACAAAATTTGAAATTGGCTCCTGATGAGGTAAATCGATGAATGTAGGATATCCAAATTTGGGGATTTAACTTTACAGTGTTACAGATCAATTTACGACAATATAATATTTTGGGAGGCCTCTATTCGATGCACTTTGTGCGAAAGCCCATGCACAAGGAATTTGAAAAGTTCAATATAACCCTGCACGAGGATGGACGAATACTATATACCCAGCAGGATGTGCGAGCAGATGTCGGCAGTCGCAGATCGACGCGTCTTAAGTCACGATTTAACTATACCCAGGCAATGGAATCACCGGAGAATCGACACCTAAAACTGGCCCCAGATGAGGTTTCATATTTCTGTGTAACCTTCCGACTGCCAAAGATGTTGTGTCTATTCGGGGAGCCCGTGGTATGTCAGTTTTTCGAAGAGGAGATTGACGATAATGAGTCAGACGAGGCTTCGATTGGAGCTGGAGAAGTCCACAAGCTCAAAAAGAAACATAAAAAACGTTCAGCGTCAAAGACAGGTCAGGAAATTGCGAAGAGTAAGAAGAGAACATCGGGGGGCTTAGACGAACGTATACCCAGACCTAATATGACGCTCATTAAGCGAAAGTCGATGAATGCTACAAATATCTATCGTCCCTCTGTCATAAGTGTACTTCGTAACAACGTTACGCGCTTCACGAAAAACATTGAAGCCGAATTGCATGACTTTGAAGTGGACGGTAAGCAGGGAAAGCCTCTGACTCCCCTTCAAGTCCATGAGCTGGCACGATGTTGTATACCTCGTGTATTGTCCTCGTTCAAGTTTCCGATGGAGTTCCGCTTGGAGCGAACCGAAGAAGTGGCCGAGAGAGCTGGGCGTGGCTGCACGTTGTTGCGTCGGCATCACGCAGAGGCCAAGGTGGTTGAAGTAGACAAGCAAGCAGAGTTTTTCAGCTATGATAAGCAGACAGGGCCCGAAAGACTATTTCCCATTTTCGATCAGCAAAGGCCATCGATATCTCTCGAAACTCCCGCTGAAGACTCAGATATAGATTCGCTGAAAAGCAAACACGTGAAAGTCCGCCGTACAAGCCAAACACAGGATGCGACGGATCCCACAAAACTCACGTTGTTTGGGATAATGCACACCTTAGATGAAATCGAAAAAAAGTATATGACCCGTACAAACGCAATAATGGATCAGTCTTTTGGCACTAAGGGTTTACGGCTAGCCCAGTCAGATATGCGGACAAAGTCATATTCGAATCGCATGTCCGTAATGAACAGTAAACCAATGTCATCTCTAAAGATTTCACGATCGTCCCACTCGGGTCATTTTTCCATTGATTTACGGTCAGGCAGCGAAACAGCCAGCGTAACCTCTAACGAATCTGAGACCACCAAAAAATCAATTAAGGAGTCCCTGAGGCCAAAAAAAGAGCTACCCAAGGTGAAGCACTGGACCACTAGATACATAAAACACACCGAGTTCTTACCGGAATCTTGCACAGTTAAGATACAAACAGATCGATTGGGCGTATTTGGGTTTGCATTCAAAAGTTACGAGCACTTTCCCTTCAAAGGATGGTCCCTGCAATACAACAAGGATAAGTAAGTGAAGTTGGGAAACTACGAAACTGTATATTAGAGGATATTAGCATTGCCGATTATCTGTCGAGTTTTGAGACCATACAGGTTTGTCCGCTAAAAATAGCTATCTAGTCGTAAATGGGGACTATGCTCTATTGAAGCCTTATTAATTTGTTCTATGGTTTACAGGTAGAGGGTATTTCTGTAGTCTTCTGGCTTAGCTCTAGCTTTTAATTCTTCAATGCAATAAATTTTTCAGCCCAACTCCTTTTCCTTTTCGTCTTTTTTTAGTATCAACGAAATCATCTTTACATTGGACACCTATCATGTGCGCGTCGTCCTGTTCATAACCAACGCGGGCATCCGGGGTTACGCAACAAAGATAATTGAGGAATATGTTGCCAATCCGATCAAGTATCTGGAAATCAAAGAGCCCACATCAGACTTCACTGAGTTGCGTAGGGTAAGCTAAACTAGAATCGTACAGATATTAAAGAGATCTCCGTATCTAATCGAGAATCCGTTTTTCTGTAGCGCTTCTGCGAGAATAACATCAATATATTTGCAGCGCACGATGCCTGCTACTATATTGAGAAAGGTTACTTCTCGCAGAAGCATCTGGCAACTGAGTTGCATGTCTACGATGCCTTTGCCATCCATTGCAAGCTGATCAAGTTCTATCGCTGCGACTGGAATCGGTTGGCTCCTCGCCGCAATATATTGCTCTGTTTGCGTAATCCCAAGGATGTGAACGATGGGGCGGATGTCACAATTCGCGTAACGCCCGACAACTCAACATTTGTGGAGGTCTCTGAGGCATGTACGGATGATGTCGATGTGATTAAGCTAAGCTATCACCTCACTTGGCGCAACATTGGAGTAGGTATTTGTAACCCCTAGATATTTATCTGCAAGCGTATTATGTGCCCTCGCTCTCTCTCTTCCCCTCTGTTTTTATAGGTCTATTCGGATGTGCATCACCTGATCAACTCAATGTATCCACAGGCCACGGATGTAAGAAATCGCGATCCCAAGCTAATTCACTACATACGCACACTGTTCAAGGAGATCAGGCCTTTAAGTTTCTCCTAGTTGGGTATAGATGCTGAGAGGGGTGCCCTTTCCATATGTACTTTTAATAAAAACGCATATGCTTCTCCAATTGACGTCAATTAAAACCAATTTGTAAATAACTTTCCACTTGACTTTCTTTGCGGACTTTTTCCTAAGTTGCAACTCAACTGTTTCGAATCGGTTCGGGGTGGTCATTCGATACAGTTTATGTAAGAATAACATATCCATCTATCTAAAAAGTCTTTCGTGAACTTAGTTTATTAGTTACTTTCAATGCGGGTGGTATTCGTGATATACTTTACACTAATTCAACTTGGCCTGAGTCCTGAGTGTGAGGTTCGGGCTGATGCTCCGCCTCAGACCGAGGTTCAGGTCAAGCCTGAGGAATTTTCAAATTTGAGAAATCTTGTGATGCCACCTGCAGTACAGCGTGTAATCGGTGGCGAAGTAACAACGGTTGAAAAAGTCGGTGGATTTATTGTTTCGCTGCATTATGAAGGCAGCTTTGTGTGTGGGGGCTCTCTAGTGAGGGAGCGTATTGTTCTGAGCGCTGCTCATTGTTTTCTTGGTCGCACCAAGACGTCACTGTGGGTTGTCAAGGGTGGCGTCTCTAATCTAAACGACGATGGTCCCACAATTGACGTGAAAGACTATGTAATACCCTCTGCTTTTGATCAGTTCAGAATGAATATGGATGTGGCTGTGTTGCTTCTAGCCGCACCGTTGGTGGGCAAAAATATTAAAAAAATCGAACTGTGCAAAACTAAATTGTTACCGAGTATGGTTCTCACTGTCTCCGGTTGGGGTCTAACTGATCCTGATGGCACCCATGCGCAGCAAACCTTAAGATCTGTTAGTGTGCCCGTTATCAAGAAGAAGAAGTGCAAGCAAGTCTACCAGCCCTCTAGTGAGTTCAGCTCCCAGCAATTACCTTATTTGATTTAGCTTATCTTAATTTCCACCTCGCAATTTGCAGTTGAGATAACCAATAGCATGTTTTGTGCCAGCCTTTTGGGAAAGAAGGACGCGTGCACCTTCGATTCGGGCGGTCCGTTTGTCTACAAGGATGCCTCAGGACATAAACAGCTTTGTGGCATTGTCTCCTTTGGCATTGGCTGTGCTAGCGCAAAATATCCGGGCGTCTACACCGACGTTAACTATGTCAAGCCATTCATTTTGAATACCATTCAAAATTTCGGAGGAGAATGAATGCTTTTATTAAAGTGGCATACGAAACATTATTAAATTCAAATCAATTACTACTGAACGAAAAGGTCATTGAAGGAGTACTTATATTTGTTGTATAACGGATATGATATGATATAGATCTAATAGCATAATTTGATCAAACTTTCTCATTCAACTTTATTTAGTTACTCCCGACTTCAGCTTCTTGCATCGCAAGCACGCAATGAAATACGATTTTTTTCCTGCCTAATTGTTGTCATTATTTGCATCTTGGATGAAAGTTTCGCGCCCCACTTTGGGGCATTGCGTGTTCAGGCGGTGGCAGCGACAGCGACAGCGGCAGCGGCAGCTCCTTGCTGATCATTGACTTTGATTCCAATAATTGATTGCAAGGAGTCCTGGCTCCGTTGCCTGGCAGCCCGAAGGCACAATTTTAGAAGCGATATTCGCACAACGAACTTTTACCCAAGTCTCTGTCTTAAAAACCAGCAAAAAATGTAAATTAGCTGACCAAAGTCAAAGTTTGAGAGAGAGAGAGAGTGAGAGAGAGGAAGGGAGAGGAGGTTGTATCAAAATTTATTGTTGCATGACTGACGGCCTTTCGTCTTCATTCGAATTAGTTTAATAATACAATTAATTGTTATTTATAGCTTCCTCTCAGACGCGCTCTATAGTCGAGGATAAACAAAATCAAAGACCTCTTAAATGATTGTTTACGGCACGCAACACAAGATTTGGAGCAACTTCTAACAAATACTTGGACAAAACGATGGGAGTAGGAATGTGGTGAAACTAAAGAAGTTGCTGAAATTGGCCCAAACAAGTCGATTTAAAGTAATTTAAAGTAGCGGGATTTTGTTTTTTATTAACTATATAGCAAAGATTGTTATTTAATATATATAGTTATAGTTTCCATTACTTGCATTCTTAAGACAAACTATAGCTACTCCAGCTGTGCCCAGTTCTCTGCAATATTTCCCTATATTCAAAGCTTTGCCTGGCATCTGGGATGCATACCCGTTTATAGGATGCTTGGCTAGCCAAATTCCTGACATGTTTAAAGCCCTCAAGTATCAGCTGCTCAACGGGATGTCGACTAACAACCACAGAAACATATCTATATATACTAATATANTTCAAGTAAAATAAAAACTTTTATCATATTGTATTTAATGCTAGCTAAAAGTTTTAATGAAATAATAACTGAGACATTTAATGGGATTTATATATAAACATGTATGTACATGTATGTTCATATATAGACGACACTTTGCGGTCTGCGTGTCTGACAGGTTGTCCCCGGTTGGGTTTTCCTCTTTCCTGGCTGCGTTCGAGTTGGCATTAAGTTTATTTATCTGCTTTTAAATGGCATGCATACGCTTGCAATATAACTCCCAATGTCATGTAATGTGCACCAGAAACAAAGGCAACATAATGTAGCTAGCTGGCCCCTCCGTCGCGGCGCTGGAGTCGTAACCACAGATAGTACGACTACCATTTACTAGTCTCATAAATTTATGGCACATTGTGAGCCAGTCGGGCTGAGAGTCTTCCTGGCTCCCAGCGGAGACGACTGTAGGATTTCGGTAGTCGGCAAGTCGGTAACATAACATGCAAGCTGGCACCTACGGTGCAGCGAGCCTCAATCTCCAAAGATTTACACATGCCTCCTCTTTGAAGCTCGCAAAAAGAAAAATATAAATAAAATATTGAACAGAGATAGCGATAGGCATAGAGTGAAAGAGAGGGGCAGAGCTGACACGCTGTGTGTGGACGATGCATATAACCAGACAATCAGACATATCGAATCGCATCTACTATGCGGCGTTAGTTAGACTCTTCAAGAGCCAGCTTCGCTTTGTTAATTAATGAAACACATAATCAAACAGCGGGCTATAAAGATGAAAAGAGAGAAGCTAGAGAGAGTGAGAGAGAGAGGGAGAGAGTGTGTGTTTGCCTACAACAAACTGGTTCGCTGCGCAGTTTCTAAAGAAATGCTCAAATACTTACATGCAGTGCGCAGGTAAGAGCATTAGAAATGCAATAGATGAGCAATGGACGACTAGAAGATGCTACGTAGTCGATTGAAGGAATGTGAGTAAAGGCAGACAAGTTCTATGGTAAATTATATGGTATAATGATATACTGTTGTGAGACATGGCAAGCGTTTTATTTAACTATAGATATACATATATCACTCATATGAATGCTTATATTAAAAATGAAGAAACTTATGTAAATGGAAGGGTAGAAAAATGTATGATCAGTTCGTACTATATAGGAGTTTTTCTGAGAGGAGCAATGGATCTATCGTCATACAAATCATTGCATGCAGAATGTAAAAGGAGTTTAGTATGATACGATACAGTATATTTAGTATCATATCATTTTCATATATATTTATATATTCATATAGATGATGATGACGTAAACAGCTGAGTTAGTTTATAGTTCTATGTATTTTAATTTGTTTTGTGCACTGGAATTTTCATTATATATATCATATACCGCCATCTGTTACAAACACAAACTAAAAACCATTTTATTCCCATCTCAATGACATGCGTGTATAGGGTATACAAAACACATCTTGAAGAGTTGTCAAACACTTGATCAATAGCGGCAAAGCCTGTGTGCTGCTGTTGTTGTTGTTGCTGTGTATCTCACAGATAGATTTTATTGTGCAGCGCCGAAGTGTTTGCACAACTTAAAAGCCAATAAAATTTGTTGTTAATTGCTTTGGTAAATTGAAAAAATTAGGTTTATTTTTGTATTTTTTGGGAAATAGCCGAACAGAGAAGGGAAAGAATTGTGCGTAGTTTGTAGTCCAGTATTTGGCCAACAAATTAGCTAGCCACATTTAATGACCTTTCAAAAGCCGCTGACAAACCAAGACAAAAAAGACGAGAGAAACCCAGAAACTAGACAAATCGAAACTTAAAATTAATCCGCTTAAATGTAATTTAAGTTAGGCAGACTATAAGCCCCAATAAGAGTTATAGAGGGAGTACGAGCGAGAGAGCGAGAGAGAGAGAGAGAGAGAGAGAGAGAGAGAGAGAGGGATGGGTAGAGACCTAAAAATCGTTTAATTAAAGTTCAACAAAAGTTGAAAAGCGATTTCATGCCGCGTTGAATCAACAAATTGTAAACTCTACCAAAGCGCCAAAGCGAGCAGGGGAAGAGTGCCTAGGGTGGGGGCAGAAGGCCGGTGGAGGGGGCTATTCCATTATTTGTACTTATTTAAGTGCTTGATCATGCTGATATCATCACCTGGCAGCATTTCTTTGTGCCTGAGAGTTGCCTTCAATGCAATTAGCCTCCGCGAACGCCAGGTGGTCTCCTCTGCTACGTCTTTTTCATGCTCAAATCGAACAAAAATCTCAAATCGAAAAACTGTTACAAAAATAAGACGGTGAAACGAGATTCATATATGGGAGCAGCATCAAAACAGCAAAAGTATTGTTCGAGTCGAACTAAGAATGCGCTTCAAACGCAGTAGAGGCGATAGTAAAAAAAAAAACACCTTGTAATGCAGATTAGTAATTAATTGCATTTGCTTCGTTTCTCTTTTCGCTTTTCATTTATACATCTCAAAAATTGCAGTTAAATGCAAGTTCTACTGCTTTTCTATACGATTCTCTAGGGCTTCCCAATGCCCAAATTCAGATTAGATTAAGGATTAAGGATTATTTACTTTTTTATGTGAATCTCTAATAGAAATCTTAGGTTAGTATTGCTTGAGTTTATCTCTTCTGCTACTTTCAGAGATTTTCAAGACTTTTAAAACATACGAGCCTTCTACATATGCTCAATAGCTCCTAATATTCCCAGTGATTCTGAATGTATGAATCAATAATACCATTTAAATATCCTGAAGCACCTCAAAACAACTCTCGCAAATCGATATGCTCCCTGTGTAGCGCACCGTGCGTCGTGTTGACAGTTATTGATCGATGTTATCGATGGGAATACAATGTTGAAATTAATTTTGATTGCGCCTCCAATGCAGGCCCTCGATAAACTTGTACCGGCAATTGACTGAAACACGTGTAATTTACGTACATTTGAGACTTTAAGAGTCTGCCTAATGGCCAGTGGGCGACGTGCTGCATACGTTAAACAGGCCTTGCCCCAGTCGCTGTCTTTCCCATCAGCTGGAGTTGAGACTGGGGCCGAGGCTGAAACTGTGGCACAGTTCAATTGTTCCACTAAATATCTTGACACTGACTAATTCGGCGGCCATTAATCTCACGGCTGCTTAGTGTCAGTGGCCATCAATATGCGCATCAAATATGGAAAAGGAAACACGTTCCGCTCCGGTAGATCAAACTGATGAATGTGACTCTGGCCGAGTTGTGTGGCACGCTTGGGGGTTGCCCATACGAATCAGACGGGTTGCTTAGTCAGGCAGTCGGTATGTCTGTCAGAGAAGCAGTGAAACTCGCTGCTTGAAGCTGTGTCTGCCCTTCCCTTCTTTGCGATTCTCAAGCATCTATACTAGTTACTCCATAGTTTGCCAGTCAATCAATCAGGATTTGCAGTCAATCAGACCGCAGCCCCAGCTGCTCTCCAGTCAGTCCGTTAGACAGGCACTCAAAAAATATGTCTGGCAACAATTGCTTGCCACAAGCCAGGCCAGCTTGCCGCATTTCGTGCTGTTGCATGACTACCGGGCATCATTTTTGCCTATGCACAGCGAAAACTGAGGCAACCCAAAGAAAGAAATGAACACGTCGAATGCTTTGGCGCACGCGCACAGTCGTTGACTCGCTGGTCCCCTCGCCCCATGGCCCCGCTGCGACTGCCACCCACTCGCTGTGGCTGCCCCAGGGCGAACGTTTTCGATTAAGCAGCCAGCTGCAGCGTGTGCCAGTCGAGCGTCGCAGCGCCAACTGAAGTGCAACGCAAAGCTGAAAACTGGCAACCAGATCAGCTAGGAGAAAATAACAGAGCAGCCAGACGTTGGCAAAGGGCAGGAGCAGGAGATCAACCAACGCCTTC